CACGAGGCTCCTCCACACGCCGCAAAAGCGTTGAAAATGCTTCCAAGCTGCCCCAAACACCGGTCAGAAATGCCTTTGCTTCCAGAGCTTGCAGACAAACTAATCTACCCCCCCATCGTCCGTTGACGCCGCTCTGGCGGCACGACGGCCCTGGCGGCATGACCACGACCCTCCTCGCGGTCATGTCCGTGTCCCCGCTTCATTGGGTGGCCGCCGCTTTATCCCCCGAGACAGCTCATTTCTACTCGCTTCGGCCAGCTGTAGGCCAGTCGGCGCCGTGAACGCCAAGGCCTTCTAAAGTCCCCATCAAGCCTCCCGAAAGGCGTGCCCCTCTTCTCACGATGGGGTTCGCCACCCCTTCTCCGAGCGATGACTTTCACCCCCTCGTGGTCATCAGCGTCGCCCCCTCGTCGCACCGACCCCTGCCCCTCTCCGACGATCCTCACATCCGCCCCGCTCCCACGTGCCCGCGGTCCCCACTCGAACCCGTGGACATAGGTTTCCGACCTCGTGACCTTCACCCACCACGCGGTCATTACATCAGCTCTCTCGCTGCCAGAAGCGCATTCCGCCATAACCTTTACCCCTCTGGCGATCCCGGGGCCGTCTGTCTCGTCGTCATCGTCCTCGTCGTCGTCGTCCTCCTGTTCCTCTTCTTCGTCCTGGCCGTCCTAGCTTCGAATCATTCGTTACAGTTTTCACTCCGTTGATGCTCATGGCATTCCTCCTTGAACGTCATGACCGCGACCCCCCTCGTGGTCACCATTTCCTTCCTCCCACCTCGCGTTCGTGACTTTGGCCCCGTCACACTGATGCCCTTTCTCCCAAACCAAAGACATGCCTGTGGCACGTTCCGGGGTGATGACCGTGACCCCCATCGTGGCCATCATCTTCTTTTACGAATCACCCACTCACCGAGTGGTTGGGAGTGCATGGACGCAGGACCAATGTTGAGGCGAAGCGAAGCGAGCCCTCAAAGTGTCTAAATCAAATGACAATACGCCTTGGCGGGTTTGTGGAGAAACCCGCCTCGGAGGCCTCAAAACCTCCCTGGTCGAGCTAGAGTAGAGAGACGCCTGCAACGTCCACGATGGCTTCATGGGACTCCCGGAGGAGCCTCCCTCCGACGGGACAGGAACCCCAAAGACGGCCCGAAGATGAGCCGAAACGTCCAAAGATGGCCCCAAGATGGCCTCAGGATGGCCCCAAGGCGGCCCAAGAAGTTCCAACATAGCTCTGCACAAGGCCCCCGAGGAAGTTCCAAAATCCTGTGGGTTTTCGTATCTTTTGCCATTCTCCACTTTTCAGCTCAAGGTGGCTCCAAGAAACGCCCCGGAGTCTTTCAAGAGGGCACATGTGGTCCACAAGAGCCACCAAGATGGTCCAATACACCGCCAACATGGCCGAATACGGCCTCCAAGACGACCCTAAGACCGCCCCAAGACGGCCCAGACCCGCCCCAAGATGGCCCAAATACTCCCCCAGACGACCCCACGAGACCCCGAAAAGGCCCCGCGATGCCCCAAGAGACCCAAAGACGATCCCGACAGGCCCCAAGATGACCGAAGAGGGCCCAGGAGCGCCCCCAGCAGGCACCAACATAGCCCGAAGAGAGTCCAAAAGGGTCCCACGACGTGACAAGCCAGCTATGTCGTGACCTCTCCAGGCAAAGGCACTGTCAGTCCGCCCGTATGTTTGTCTGGTAAATACCTGACCTGTTCATGGGTGCGTGTCTCCGAGAGATTGGCTATGTTGGCTGGGCGTCTGTAATTTTCCATGGGCCCGCCAACCATCTGGGCGAGCGGCGCATTCCCTTGCGTGAATCCCCCCCACTCAAGCTCTTTCTCAACGCTCTGGACGGTCCTGGACCGCCCAAGACACCCTCAAAACGGCAAAGAAGGCTCCGCGAGGGCCCCAAGACGTCTCCAAGACAGTCCCGAGACTCGCCCATGAAGCCCCAAGAGAGCCCATGGGAACCCAAACAGGAAGCACCTGACACGCCTGCAGAGGCCCCAATGACGCCCAAAGCGAACATTGAAAACGAATTGTCAGTAATGTTCTTCGCGCCATTCTTCGCCCTGAAAGCCGCAGGGTGCCCCCGGACGCCTCCAAGAACCCCCCAAGCAACCCGCAAGAGGCCCCAATATGGCCGCAAACCAATGCAAGGAACCCCCAAGACGTCCCTAAGATGGCCCAGGACCGCCCTGAGGCAGCTCCAAGATAGCCCAGGACTGACCCACAGCGAGCCCCAAGAAGCCACCAGATAGACGGCCTCAGGACCTTACAACATGTTTCAAGACACCCCAGACGGCCGCAAAACCCTCCAAGACAGCTCGAAAAGCCCCACCAGGCTCCCAAGAGCCCCAAAGAAGCTCTAAAGGAACCATCCAGCAGGCTCTTGGGAGACGAACAAAAAATACATCACATGTTACAGATATCTAGGCCATGGGAAAGGCAATTGCCACTCGCTGCGGCTTTATTTCCACTGGGGAAGCGAACTCTTATACGGTACGGCCCTCTGCGACCTGGGGATGAGAGCTGTCACATGTTACAGATCTCTGGGTCCCAAACAAAGCGGCTATCACATGGTACGGCCTATTCGAACACACGAAAGCGCGTGCCACATGTTAAGAACACTTACGTTTTGGCAATATCGAAGGGCCGCCACACAGAGTGCTACGCTGGCACGGTGGCGGAGCGTGCCGCAGGCACCTGGATTGTAATATTTTCGCCATGAGCAGACATGACAACGTCGCCTTCTCTCAGATCTTCGACACTCCGATAGCCCCCAGCCGAGCATTGTAAGATCGTGCCGCGTAAGAAACAACGAGGGCCATGACCGTTCGTGCTGAGCATGGATAAGTCGCTTGAGTTCGTGTTCAGCGAGCTTGCAGAAGTCAGTGACCCACCATCGTCTGCATCGCCTCCTTGTTGCGAACGGTCATTCTCTTCAAGCTGTCCACCTTGGTACAAGGCATGATCTTCTGGCATTGGAGCAAGCGCTTCTTGACTTTCAAGCTCTTCTGGCAAAACGCGTGCATCTGGCAAACCATGGTATTCACGCCGGCCTCCTGGACGCATGGCATGATCCTCTGGCACTGTAGCCAGTGTTTCTTGAGCTTCACGCTGCAATTGTCTTTGCTGTCGTTTCCGTGCCTTCCGAGCCTGATTTGCCGACGGCGCCACTCCAGCCCCGCATCGAACAATCATGGTGGGACTAGCTGTACTATCTATTATCTGACTCAAAGGGCCAAAATTCAATGAGACCGTGCTGCCGCAACTTCTGCGGCGAGTTGCCCTGTCCCAAGAGCGAAACGATATGCGACGTGAGACACCAAGCTTGCCAAAAACAAGTTCCAGGTCATCGCGAGAACGATGCGATGGCTCAGACTTATCATTTGGCCAACGTCCACGAACTGTAATGTATAGCTGCCCGTTCAACCCTGGTGAATTATTGTCCTCACTTTTGAAGCCGTGACGTTTAAAGACTTCCCGAGCTCTGGCACATAGTTCCTGAACTCTAGCGCATTCGTACGAATGGATCCTCCAGACTGTTCTCTGAGCTTCCTTGCCATCTTTTAGCGCTCCTTGGAATCTTAATTTGGGAGAAGGGGTTTCAACCAAAGGCTTCAAAGCATCAGTAATCTCCTTCTTAATCAACGCGTCGCATCTGTTACTTGGCATGTCTGGAGGACCGCTGACAAAGAACAACGGCGCATCAATGAATTCTGGCCATGAATCGATCCATCCAGAATGTTCATTCAACGCGTCTCGTAAGTAGGGCCTGCCTTCGTATTCACTGCGGGTCGAGGCAGTAGAATCTACCTGAAATCTCTCTATCAGCTTTGCAAGTCCATGCTGGTGTGATGGAATCAATCCCACGCAATAGGCTACTTCGTTCATATCATAGGAGTGGTTCGACAGGCGAAGCAAATCGTGCTGGCTTGCAATAAGTGGCTTGGAAAGATTGAGCCCAAAATGGATGGGGAAACAGAATGGCCCCGCTGATGGTGGAGATCAAGACTTGGACAGCTGCCCCAGAAACCCCAGCATATGGAGATCAAGACTTGGACAGCTGCCATTGCCATCGGATATCTGCGCGAAGATGCAGACGCGGCGGCCTGACGCGATAGCTGCCAGCGCGGCAGACCACGCCGAGAAGAGAGCCCCTACGCGCGGCGCTGCGGTGGCAGCTAACGCGCCAACGTGCGCGCACTCGGGACCCCACCCACACCCCCCGCTCCTGCGCCGCCCGTCTGCCAGGCAGGAGAGAGCAGAAGGGAGCAGGAGGGAGCAGACAGAGCGAGGATGAGCAGCTGGGGCAGGAGGGCCATGAGACTGGCCGACTTCCCGGGGCCGCACAAAAAGACAACAGGCTCGAACCCTGTGGCTGAAGATGCCCCCGCATGCCCCCCGAACGCCCAAAACAGCGAGGAGAGTGCGGCAACGGGCGCGGCCAGGTTCACAATCCCCACTCGTGTTGGCACCAACACTGACATAGGGGACTGGGGGGGAGGGGGGGGAGGCCAGTCACCTTCACTTCTGGCGAGGGGGGTCGCTACCGCTACTCCAGATTTCGTAATAAAGGGAGGGGGGTCTGATTTCGGGGGGGGCCTCTTCCAGGCTATCTTGGAGGGCCTCGGGGGTCTGGGGACGATGTTTTGGAGGGTTCTCCCACGGGGGAGGTCTGAAATGGCTTGTCTTGGAGGGTCCAGACCCCCTCCCTGTTATTACGAAATCTGGAGTACCCCCCAGACCTTTCCCAGAGTGCGTTCTGACCAGGACTTCGAGGCGAACCCAGCGGTGGCGACGGGGGCCGCCCAGGAGGCCTAAAACAGGGAAAAACGGCCGAGGGGGAGAGGCGTGGGCACTTCCTCCTCTTCCGAACTGGGGGGAGGGGGGGGTGGGCCAGAGCCCCCTTCACGTCTGCACTGGGGGTCGAACCCATCGTCTGCCGGCTTCCGGATCGTCTGCCTCGCCCGCCCGAGATCGGTCGGGGCCTCGTCTGGAGCCACCAGCCGCGCTGGGTGCCGTCCGCTCGCCCGCCTGCTCCTGCGGCCGGCCGCCGGCCTCCCTCCTCTCCTCGTCGCAGCGACGGTGGGCAGCAGGAAGGTCGGGCGACGAGGAGCACAAACGCACAGCGTTCTTCAGAAGTAGACAGCTGATGTGTACGACGACCGATCGTCATTACCAAAAAAAACAGAGCTCGGCTTCAGAAGCAAGCAACTTTCTGTTATGACGAATGGTCGCCATTGACAAACAGGTCAGCACAAAACGACGATCGATCGTCATGAGACGCTCGAGATCGATCGCTCGTCCCCCCCCCGAAAAAAATACCTACTGAATCCGGGGCCCATCCTGGGCCCACGGTCAATGCAGGTGTGCCTCCCTGGCCAGGCGAGGAGGGCGTATTCGACGCCGCGCGGCCGGGACCGAACGTACCGCCAACCACTGCTAGGGGGGCCTGGCTCGCGCCTCGCTTTTCTTGGGGATGCAGCGGGGACCCCCTATCCGACCTCTTACACCAAGAGTGAAGTCGGGCATGTCCCTCTGCAGGAGAAAAATTCAAACATCGGAAGAAGAGGAACAACAAAAAACAAAAAAAAATCCCCAGGCCAGAAGATTTTCCTCTTGGGCTAAAATATGAAAACGCCCGTGGATCTAATTGGACCCGTCTTCGGGTGCGCGACAATGTCATGGATCCTACCTCTGTCTCGCGCGGATCAAGTGTCCCGTGTGTGAAAAACAGATGGATCAATTCATTTTGTGGGAATGTACATACAGTAATAGTGCCCATCCCAGACCCAGGGGAAATGTGATCCGCGGGGCACCACACGCGAAGCATCATGCTATCCACGGATTGTGGACCTGCTGACCGAAGCTCTGATTCTACTGGGGAAGGGGGGGTCTACAGCGGGCCCGGCCAACTCCCGCATCTGCTCCCATGAAACCTGGCACGCCCCCAGGCCGAAAAAAATGCTACATGTATCCGCACACCTGAACGGCACGTCGCTTCCGACATTTCGGGCTCAACAGGAAAACATATCGGCCTGCTTAAATAGTCTGGTGACGATGTGTCGTGCTCTTCTGACTATTGTTGACTATGTTTTGACCATTCCTAAATCTAATCCGAAACCTGCCTGTAGGAGGACATGCCCGACCTAAGCCTAGAGTCATGGTGGAATTCGAACCTCCATGGGGATCCACTGGGACCTACCAGGTCAAGGGCCAATTGGCAGGTCATGAGGGGGAACGCGAAAGAGGAGGCTGCACGCCAGATAGCGACCTCTGTGCGCACACCAGCATCAACGAGGGTGGAGAGGGCAACCCCGCGGCGATACGCACCCACCCAAAAAAATGCCACCACTGTGGTCGTAACCACGACGGTGATAACGCATCGACTACTGTGCAAGAAGCGTGCGCGGACAACCACCAAGCGCGAGGGCAAGGGATGCCCCGTCCGCAAACGACAACCCTGAGAGGAGACAGCGGTCGTACACTGAGCGAAAAATCGAGGGGGGGCAGGGCTGAAGGAGAGGAAACGGAAGGGGGGCGGGGCAGCGATCAGCCCAAAGATTCTCCACCGCATTCGGACGCCAACGCACGGGCTCACGATCAGCCAGTTCGAATATGGAAACTCGGGGACCTACTGACACGGGTCAGACCAAACCCCAGTCAGTCGGGCTTTGCAGGGCCCTGCAGGACCCTGCAAAATCCCATAAGATCCTGCGCCCAGACCCGGGTCAGTGCGACCCTGGCGCTGCAAGATCCTGCGAGGTCCGGCGCTCGGGCTGGCCCCCGCTTGCGTTGACCCCTGTCTCAAGGAGGAGGAGGAGGAGGAGGAGGAGGAGGAGGAGGAGGAGGGGGAGGAGGAGGAGGAGGAGGAGGAGGAGGAGGAGGAGGAGGAGGAGAAGGAGCCCAGCGTAGAGAGAGGTCCCCTACCGTCCTTACAGCAGGCCCTGCGCCGCGTCGGGCGGGGCGGGGGAGGGCGGCCCTCCCGCGATGACGGCGTAGCCGTCGATGTAAGCCGTATTTATATCACGGGATGGATACACAGAACGAGGCGAGAGGGGAGCAGGAGGGGCGCAAGCATCAGCATGGGCAGAGCTCGGGAGCGAAGGACAGGCGGGGAGAGGACCGACAGCGAAGGTGGCGTGACAGGACAGAGCGGGCTCGGCTGATAAGGGCGACACGCAAGGTGGAGGCGGGGCCTGGGCGGTCTGCAGACCGAAAGACCTCGGAGCGAAGGACGGGGTGAGGGAGGGAAAACCAGGCGGGACAGACGGAGAGAGGGGGACAGTCGAAAAGATACTGCGGCGAGCATGCCCAATGGCTGGGATGCACACAATGCGGGGCGGTGGGGCAGGCATGAGATGGGGAGGCGATCTGGAGACCGTGGCACAGATGCTTCGGCGACGCGTGCGGAGGGGCAGGGATGAGGGGGAGGGGCGCAGCAGGCAGGACTCAGACCGCACCACTGGAGACGTTGGGGTCATCGTCGGCGAGCGCGACATCGGCGGAGAGGGCTCAATTGATGTCCAGCATCGGGTGAGCGCCGCCACTGCAGGAGGCATATCGGCACGTGGCGACGGCGAGCCCGAACACGACAACGGGACTTGCGATCTAACGCCGTCGGACGCAGGTCCGAGATCACGGCAAAGCTCAAGTGGCGAGCCCGAACACGACAACGGGACTTGCGATCTAACGCCGTCGGACGGGTGTCCGATATCACGGCAAAGCACGGGTGGCGACGGCGAGCCCGAACACGACAACGGGACTTGCGCTCGAACGCCTTGAGCTCGGAAGGCTCCGCCCAGGGGTCTGAGCCGTGGCGACGCGATGCCCGAACACGACAACGGGACTTGCGCACTGACGCCATCATCCACGGATGGGAAGGCGAGGCGTCCGACAGCTGGCGACGGCGAGCCCGAGCACGACAACGGGACTTGCGCTCTAACGCCGAAAAGGGGCGACGAGGTCGGGGAAGAACCTGTCGACAACGAAATCGGCGAGGACGGCGCCATCGGAGCACAGCGCGAAGTCGAGGCCGCGAGCGTCACTGGTGAGGAGGGCGTCGCCGAAACACCGCTCGAAAGAGATTAAGACAGCGCAATTGATGTCCAGGAGGTCGCCCCCATCGGTGCACACGCAGACACTGGCGTCGACGGCGTCACAGAGGCACACCAAGAGGAGGAAGCCGAACACGCCCGCGGCGGAGAGGGAGCCATCCGACCACACCACGAAACCGACGACGACAACGCGACCGACGCGGAGGGCGCCCGACGCGAAGCACGCGCAGTCACAGCCGAGGACGGCGCCACAGATGCACCGCACGAAACTGGGGTCGGCAACGACATTGGCGGGGACGGCGCCACACAAGCACGCGGCGACAGTGGCGAGGCGGTAGAGCATGCCATTGGCGGAGACGCGGCCGATGGCGCATGTGGAGTAGCCGAACTCGGCGGGCGCGATGGAGCCGCAGAGCAGGGGCGGGACCAGCAGCGGCGAGATGGCGCGAATGGGACCCTGGAGGTCGGACGGGGGAAGCGGACCCTGGACGGGGCAGCAACCGCATGAAGACACGTTGGAACCAGGCGCTCGGACATCACGTCCACTGCTCTGGGCGCACGACTCGGCGAACTCGAGGAGGGCGATGGTGAGCGGGGGGGAGTCTGCTCAGATGGTGATCGTGGCGCACATGGCGAACCGCTGTCCGAATCGGAAGCCGACGACCACTCCGACGAGGAATCAGGAAATCCGCGCGATGAGGGTGGCGTAGAAGGGGTGGCCGTAGAGACAGCAGGCGTGAGCCTCGAGGAGGACGGCGGGGAGCTGCTGGAATCGGATGAACTCGACTGAGGCGAGCGGATGAAGTAGTCCCTGCGGGCGAGCTGCTTCCTCTCGGTGCCCGTTAAGGCTTGAGGCGCTGCCAACATCATCGCCATCACTCCAGCGACAGCACAGCTTCGAATGGCAGCAGGGGAAAGCGGCCATGAGTCAGGCAAGCGGGCCTCATTGCACATGTTGTAGGCGGCCGCGATGACGGAGTAGGAGTGGCACGACAGGCGGCGCAGCCCCCACCTGGACGGGAAGTCAAGCGCGAAGGGACGGGCCAGCGCGCGTCGAAGAGCGGACCAGAGGACGGGGCATCGGGCGTAGTGCTTGAGCGCGTCGCGCTTGTCGATGCAGCCGAACGCGCAGGGTCGCTTCCGCAGCGGAGAGATGATGCGGGCGGAGGTCATCCAACCGTCAGTCCACGAGCGGATCACCGCCCAGGCCCACGAGCACGGGCACCTTCGAAGGACGGCCTGGCAAGCGCCCCAATCCACGTAGCAGAGGGATCTGGGTTGCTGGCCAGCGATCTTGGTGAGGCGCAAGGTGAACAGGGAACGGAGAGGACGGGCAGCGAGCGCGGCCTCGCGGAGCGCGGCATGGGCGGCACGCTGCGGGCGAGGGCGGGCGCGGCCATCGTGCTCCAGCGCAGCAAGGGCTGCCACCAGAGGGGCGGAGCCGAATGCGGCAAGCGGACCAGGAGGGGGGCGACCACTGGCAGCAGCCTCGAGATTCTCGACGAACGCAGGCGCCTTCCAGAAGCTGGGGTATGGGAGGCGCGCGGCGAGCATGTCGAGCGCGGCCCATTCAGGGTGTTCAGCGGCATGTGCACGAAGGCGAGCCAGCAGAGGAGCCCAACACTGGAAGGTGAGCGTGGCGGCACGGGTGATGGTGGCCGTCGTGAGGTCCCCCCAGCGGATGCAGCGCGGGCCTCCCCAGCGGTCAAGCTGGGACCATGCGTCGAGGTGCAGCGCACCTAACGGGAGCCTGAATACCTGCGCCAACACCGAGAACTCAGGCTGGAGAACGGACTTCGGCGGCCAGCAGAACTGGGCTACGTAAGAGAGTGTAGTGACCGCCCTCGTGTTGTAGATGATGGCGGAGTGACTAGCAGGGGTGGTGCTGCGTCCAATAGCTTGAGCCCTCAAACGGAGCTTCGACAGAGGTGCGTCCCAAGAGGTAGTGGGAGAGACGGCAGGGCCAAGCCAGAGGCCCAGATA